AAAAAAAAAAAAATCTCCATTGTGGCCGCCATAAAAAATTAATATCGCAGTTAAAAAGCAAATACTTACAGAAACTGAGGAATAAACATTCTCAAGCTGTTTAGCCACAGATGAACAAGCATCATTTAAACCACGCCTTGTTGCAAACATCATATCAGAAAGTCTCCAACCCTGCAAGTTGATAGTTTAATATATTATATCAATATGCCTATAGAATACAGGTTTCAGCAGAAATTCCCTCTGTTGCATGATATTTATGATGCAACGGCAAAGAAAAGGAAAAATAAGTTGAATATTACTGCTCATATTGAAACATGAATATCCAAGTTGACATACAAAAGAGCAAAATGTGTATATGCTCATAGGGATGTTTTTTCATACCACTCTGTAAATCTAATACTGAAAATTGCAAGGACTTCTTAATTTCTTTGCTTTACAGAAAGTTCCTATCTTAGTTGAATATGAAGATGTATTGATTATAAAAAGGTTAAAATTCAGACACCTCCTAGGGAGAGCAGAGTCTTCTGCTCCAATTCGGAAATATTCCGTAACAGACATAACACTTAATGGCATCAACAAACAGTTAACATGGCAAATCAAAATTTCATTTGGAGAAAACAAAGACGAGAGAGGTGGGATCTTAGCAGTTCCTGAAAGAAAAATAGTCAATACCAAAAAAAGTATTTGTGCATTTCCATTTTCCATTTACTAGTTTCTACTGTTGGAAAATGATTTTTCTGAAGTTACTGAATCCAATACCAAAACTGAAAATATCTTCGGTGGTTACGAGTTTTCATGATTCTAGGTGAATCATAGTTATAGTTTTTTAAGTACGTTTTCATATGTGTGAGTAAAGTGAAGCGGTGTTCAGTTGTGTTTCCAAAATGCTAATTCCGTAAAGGGTAAAAGTTGAAACTAAATTTGTTTTCAATAAAATCTTCACTAAGAAATCAGAAATCTGATTTAGTAATTTCAGGAACAGTAAGAAAGTGAAAATGATACTTGGAAAATGACATTACCTTCCACCAAATGTAACCATATCCAACAACTACAACAATAACAAGCACACCATATTTGCCAGATGCTGTAAGAAGTAGAAGATCCAGTCAGTTAATAGATTAACATACAACATTGATGAATTATTTAAAATAAGAATAAAGGATCAAGCTGAAATATCTACAGACATCCAAACTCATAGGCAGCTCAAGGGGCAGAATCAGGTGATGTACTTCAAACAAGACAATTGATTCCATTGGGTTTGGAAAAATAAATTGACAGTAACAGGATAGCAGACTTACGTATCAATAAATAAGGAAACAAGGAACAAAAACTGATGAGTCTGTTGCATGATGTCAACTAAGGGATAAAGAGTATGAGAAGATGAAAAGGTGATGAAAATACCACCGTCCAAAAAAAAATAAAAATACAGATATTAAAAGATCTTAAGAACCAGCATGCTATTAAAAATTTTACCTACTGGAACTACAGGGCATGCATTTGAAGTACATGCAAACTGCTTCAACTATAAAACTAATTGCACATTTCCGTCAGGAAAAGCTGAAACACATCAAAAGCTCTCGTTGTTAACTGAAAATTGCTACCTGATCGGTCACCGGTGACAATTGTCACAGATCTATTTGATGCCAAAAGTTGCAACTCCTGACGAATACTGTTAACCTGCAAGAGCTCAAATGGAACAATACTAAATATATTCCTTCAGGAACATCATTCAACAAATGTCTTGACCACCGCTATGCAAAAAATCTAACTTGGATAGTTGGATGTCAAAGATGTAGGACTTCCAACAAATGTCACAAGTACACAAAGAGAAAAGATCATACTAGCAGACAAGGAACCCTAATAAAACACTTAAACAACGAACCTGTTGCACTAGAAAATCATTTCTTGGCTTGGAACTCGAAGCACCTGAATCATCTTTTTTAAGTTGCTTGAAAACAATCTGGAAGTAAGTAAAAGGTGATGAAAGGTTTTCAGTTATCAGAAAATTTGGAAAAGTTTCAGCAGGCGGATATCTGAATTTACCTTGAAAGCACCAGAAAAAAAATCAGAAACATTAGATATCCTGCCTTCTTTCGCAAGAACTGATCCTACAAGGCCTGCATATATTGAATTTCATTGGTAAAGCATCCTCTTGAAGACTACATATAATAATATCATCATTTTACACACCTAAAACTGCATAACAATACAAGTCAGGTGTTTAAATAGTGCAGCAACTAAAGACAATATGGACTTATGATGGGTAAAATCTTACTTTTTTTGCTTTTATGTCTTAACAAAAAACCTCCATTAGACCACCTAATGTAATACTACAATTAGGCCAATGATCGAAGTGGGGTATTGAATTTGGGTATATGAATTATGAAGGTAAATAATAAACAGCCTACCCCAACTTGCTTGAGACTAAAAGGCTACGTTGTTGTTGTTGTTGAAGGTAAATAATAAACCAAATTCGTCAACTTAAAATTCAACTTACAACCACTAACATGAATCCAATAGTTAACCAAATAAACAACATAAAGTAACTATCAGTAACAAATTACCAAAAAAAAAAGCTATATACATGGGCAACAGACAACAAGAAGAAAGCAGTAGCTGAACTGTTTCTTGAATAGTTGAAATGAAATCGTGAAGTAGAGGTTTAAGGGAACGTCTAGCGTCTACCATATCCTTATAAACAAACATGTGAACTAAAGTGTGATTGTGCTTGGATAACCGGAATTTTACTTTTCGCTCCTTTTCAGAAAGAAAATCTTCTAAAGTGTGATGGGCTATATGTCATTTCTAAAAAGACATTAATTCAAAATTTTCTCTCCTCAATACATCCACAAACTGACAGGAAAAGAGATAAATATCACAACACAACACCCTGCAAAATATTTCCACACTTACTTCTCAGAAAATAAAAGCCAATCCAATTACATGTAAAACCTTTTTCTTAAATATAATAGAATTATTTCAGAAAAAATGGCGTGCCAACGTTTTAAGCACTATATACTAATTTGGAAAAGTGAAATTGTATCCCCATACGGCAACGTTAAATTCGTCAATACAATAGGTAAAATTACAAAATTCTGTACTAAAGTATGACTTCCTAACGAAAACTTTTTGCGGAAACAAAATGCTATGTCATATGTTTATCCTCTGCTCTCCTTTGCTTTTCTCCTCCACCAAGTTGCTTTCAGCAATATATAAACCACTAGTACCATTAGCTCACTACAATAAGAACCCACAACTCCAGCACCTCTAATAAAAAAAGTAAATTCAGTAGAAAGGAGAAAGCTCAATCAAAATAAACTTGATATCAACTGCCCAGCTAAAGTATGCTTAAACCCTACAACTCGTTGAAAATGAAAAGCACTAGCAACAAATAGGTAACGTTTCAAAGGCAAAATCAGTCAACAAGAAAAATGAACAAAAAAAGTATGATTAGCAGCACAAATGGCCAAGAAATCACGAACCTGCACCAAGTATGATGGTCAGCTTGCCGAGGGGAAGCGCCATGGGCACTGGTAAACCATAAAAGTTAACTCTTAAACAGAATTAACAAGAAAACGGGACATTTACTTGTTCTCCACAGCAAACAGAGGCCTTGATTAGATTCAAATTCTCAAAGGATTTTGACTACGACAGAGAAGTCGATCAAATCGAGCAAGCTTACGCAGAGGCGAAACCCTATTTTGGTATTGGGAAAACGAAAGAAGATAAAACGGGGCGATTAGCTGTAAACGATAATTTGCCTACAGTAACAGAACTGAGAGTGACGAATGTACAAATTTGCCCATGTTTGCTTATTGGCCAAGACAGATAAATGTGGAATTGGATTTGGATTCAATGTTTCAATTTATAAGAGCACAATATTTTGGTCTCTTAGAAAAAAAAATTATACGCCTGTAAGAAATAGACATAGTCTATAAAAAAAAATCTTTCACAATACGGACCTAGTCTAATTTATGTGGCACTAGAAAAAATAGACTAAGTTCACACTTGGGTCTATTTTAGACCCAAGTACAAACTCACCTAGTCATTAATTGTTCACAATTTTCTTTTTCATTTTAATAAGTAAAACACATTTTTTTTTGTATTTATTTATTATTACTATATTTTTATTGGTTGTTTAGTATTCCAGACCTAATACTTTTTTGTTTTGCATTGAATTTATTTTGGAATTTTTAGCTTAGGTTTGTCCATGTCATTGTGGACTTAAGTCTATTTATTTGCCACATATGCAAAAATAGACCCACAACATTGTGGGTGCTTTTATAAGAGCATCCACAATGCTTTGGGTCTATAAGAGCACCCACAATGCTTTGGGTCTATTTTTGCATATGTGGCAAATAAATAGACTTAAGTCTACAATGACATGGACAAACTCAAGCTAAAAAATCCAAAATCTATCTAATGCAAAACAAAAAAAAAAGTACTAGGTCTAGAATAAGAGCATCAGTAATGTTTTGGGTCCATTTAAAGAAATATACTGGCCATGTAGTAAATAGACTCAGTTCAGAAAATTATATGCTCTAATGTAACTGCAAGTGGGCTGAGTCTTACTGACGTGACAACAGAAAAAAGAGACTCAAATCTACCCGTAAGTCTAATTTAGACCCAAGCAGAGATCTAGTCTCTTTGCATTGAAGTCAATTTTGTAACTTTTAGAGCATCCACAATGCTTTGGGTCTCTTTTTGCATATATGACAAATAAAGGGTAAATTGCGCCAAACTCCCCTGTATTATACGAAATTTGCGCGTTTTCCCCCTGTATTTTAAAAATTGCGCCATACCCCCTTGTAATATACTTTTACATGCACGAAAC